GAAGGAGACCATCTCCTCCAGGCTCCTCCTCTTCAGGGTCCTTCCTCTTACTTTGCATTTTTCATTTCTCATACTCCTCTTAAAGCACAATTGTCTCTCTCTTGAGTTGGTCCTGCATTTGGTAGACCTGCTTTAATCCTTATTGACCCACGGAAGGGGATCTGGGAGCGCTATGCATTGAATTAGTGTGTTGCACAAAATTATGAATGGCTTCAGTGAATACTATTTCAAGGTAATCCATGGAAAGGCATGGTCATAGAAAATGATAATTTTCCAGTGAGCTGTTAGAAGGATTTCCTGCATCTTATGAGAATACAGGAGTAGATGATTGTCTGTATCATTGGATATTTAATTTGTGAGTATATTAAAATATATATATATATATCTTTTCATACTTCATTTTGTCTGTACTCATGCAAACTGGGCATGGTAAAATGAATGGCATTTGAGTGCAGTAGAAAAAAATAACAGGCTATTATAAATAGAGTAGAATAGTAGCATAAATAGAGTAGAATACCCATTTCAGTAAAAATGTTCAAAAACAGGTCTAAACAAACAGCTGTAGCAAATGAGCAAAAGAAGGCCTTCTTTGAACATGAGCAGGAGCAGACCTTGTTTCCTGGGCACATATATGAGGATATGAGGAAAAAAAGTGGCACATATATGAGGATAGTTTTATGATTCTTTTGAAGGGCAAAGATGCTTAAGTAGAAGCAAGAAGTAAGAAGTCTACTGTGAGATAGCCTCAGTATCCTTTTTGCCTTTTGTTTTAGTGTATTCTGAAAGACAGTAGTCCTCAAAAAAGCTTTTAACTTCAAATCACATTTACTTAATGGTTAGATTCTACATCTTTCTGACCCTTGAGTCCTACATTTTCCTATCAAACACTTAATCCAAAAAAAAAAAAAAAATCAAATGTTTTTACTCTCTATATCTCATAAACAGATCCTCCCAATCTCTTCAGTGTTTGGAATGAGATGATGTACTGTTTCTGAACAAGATCTAACAGGTTCCTGTTTTATGAAGGGGAAAAATGTGAGACAGAGTAGACCTTATCGGTGCTGGAAATTCCAGCAAACAGAGCATGGAAATCTTTATTATGAATTGTGAAATGAAAAAAAAAGAGAGATGATTTTATCTGTTAGAAATCTGTTAGAAACCTTGTGAATATCAACAAGCCATTCTTCTTTATTGTGTACAGGCATCCAGCTTTGAAGGGTCAGGATTATGAGCTCTGACTGAATGCACTTCATCTTTTTTATATCTATTGCATATATTCAGTTTTCTATACAGATTACTCTCAAAATGTTGAGTGAAACAAATCTAAAAAATTGAACTTTGATGATATCAGACCAGGAATACTCAAAGATCAAGCTTGATATGATTTAAAAGAAGGGTGGCAGCCAATTTTTAAAACAGACTTTTCCAAACCATAGAATTCCATATGAATTCAGAGGCCTCATCATTAATATACCAAATAGCTTTCTGTTTTTGTTGCTGCTGTTGTGTATTTGGTTCTTTTGAATAACACACTTCGTGTTGTTGATTCAGTACACTGAGATATCTTAAAAGGGGATTTCTCTGTGTTCAGCTAAGCCAGCATGTAGCTCCCTCCTTGAGGACTCCTCGTCTCTTTGGCGTGGGCAGATGCATAACACTGTAATTTCGGTTGCTGAATCATCAGCCTTCCCAAAGCCATAATAATGTAATCATCTTTTTAATTAATGAGTCTGTAAATTTAGTGACAAAAGACTGGAACCATCAGTGACTGTGTGATCCTAGTGATGTAAACACATATAATGAGCTATCACGCAAGAAATGGTTTGACAGCCTCTGGAAGCATAAGCATCTACTGAACAGACATTCTCTCCAGAGTTAGTTTTATATGACTTAATAAAACAATGCATCTTATTTTGATTTCTTATGCTGTATCTTTTATAGAAGGAACACATAGTGCCCAAGAGTGTAAGCTTTTCTTTACTGTTCACAACTGATTATTCACTTGTTATTCACAACTGATATGGCACATCACTCATGGTTGTATTTTGGGATTATAAATCACAAATAAATCACAAAGTGATTTATTTCATGTGAGGTGATAAAATCAGATCTTTTCACAAAGTTATGTTGATACTGTTATGATATCTGGCAGGAAAAAATATGAACTTAATTTGATATGCATCCCCAGAGCACAGTCTTATCTGGCCAATGATTCCAAAAGGTTTTACCAGCTTTTGGCCAGGGCTGTCTTGGAGACATTTCAGTTGGTTCTGGTAGAACTGTTTATTAAATCACAGTCAGTTCAGCCAGCAGCTGCTGGCTTCCACCTCTAGCAAACTCCTGCTGGGGCTGCCGGCTCTCCAAAAGAGCCAGTCTGTTGGGATCTGGCTCCCGACCATTGGAACTAAATGGTTCCAATATCAGACTCTACCCTGCCCTGTAAAGAACAGGATCCAGAGCCTTAAACTCTCTTTAAATTCCTTCTCTGAATTTTCCTATTATTTTGAAAGCAAATCCTTGCCACTGGCTATGCTAAAGCTGAAATTCTGTTATATCAGCACTCCGGCATCTAGCTCTTTTCTAGCTCTTTTTGACACAGCTACACAGTTCTGAAGCATCATATTTAGATTTATAAGCTTCTTGGTATAAATGGAGACAACATTTGCATGCCTAATGTTGTGCATCCTATTAAAAAAAAAAAAAAAGAAAGGAAAAAGTACTGGTCTAAGGTCCAGAACAGCATCAACATACTGCCAAGTTTTACCACTGAAATACACCAGCTATTCAAGATTACTTGAAGGGGCCATAATTAAATATCCTGCAAGTTGTATGTGTGTCAGCAGCATGTCCTTGCAGCAAGGAAGGGCAGCAACACACTGGGCTGCCTTAGCAAGAGTGCAGCCAGCAGGACAAGGAACACAGCTGAAGGGAAAGCTAACTGCAGGCTACTGCCATGTCCAGGGGATTTACAGAAGAGACGGTGAGAGACTCTACTCAGACATGCACAGTGAAAGGGCAAGAGGGAATGTCACAAGTTGCAGGAAGGAAAATTTCCACTGCATACAGGGAAAAAAATCTTCAAATTGAAAGTGAAACATGTCGTCCCAGCTGCAGAACCTCCCTCTTAGGAGATTTTCTAAATTCAGTTGTGCATGGCCTGAACAAGCTGCTTCAGTTTTGAAGTTAGCAGGACTTTAGCAGGGAGTTGGACTAGATGATTTCCAATGATTCTTACAAACCTAAACTATTCTGATTCTGTGATTCATGTTTCCATTCAGAAGAAAAGGAAATATGAGGCACTTTTGCAAGGAAGCACTAAAATTTTCCTTTGATACTATGAGACTCAACAGTTTACACTTAAATAACCCTTTGTCCAGGATCAGAGTTGCCAACATCTGTGAGACAATTATGTATCATCATATTGCATTATATCATCATATTGCAGCATTATGTATCACATAATGAGTGGCAGCAAATGCTGAAGTTAATACCATTCAGTGACAAGACAAAGAACATTGAGAATTCAATTTTAGAAAGCATTCAGCTTCTGTTAATTCCTGGAAGACTGTGTTCAATTTCTTGTTTTTAATGGAATCCAGACCTGTTTTCCCCTTAACCAAGTGTCTTGTTTGATGTATAAGTCAAAAAAACTCATATTCCAAGCATAATTGCCATCCTTGATAGAAAGAAGCTTCAGCAAGAAAAAAAATCTTCTTTATGATATCATAAGATATTTTATATGTGATCTTTTGGACATGGAAACAAATGCCAAGTAGCCATGTTAATAAAGAGCCTTATATTTCACTCTATTTCATACAATTCATTTTGTCAAAAAAATATGCAGAGAAACAGTATCAATAAAAAATAATCTTTTATCTATGACAGAGAAATAATAGAAAATCATATTACTTGTTTTATAGTTTGAAGTAATAAGCCTTGGTATTGTGGATAAATGTTGAAATCATCTTTGTCCATCAACTAATTATGTAACTCTTTTGAGGAAATACATTGTCTCACTACACTTATTTTTTCTACATCAAAAAATGTTGATTTTGTTTTTAGAATTGAAATTAAAAATATTCACTATGTCATCAAAATATTTGGTGTATATCAAAATATATGGTGTAGCATTCTTTAATTTCGGGAACATATTTTGAATAAAATATATGAAATGTTGAAATTTGACAGCGAGACCTTATTTCTTCCTATAAATTGCTGCCTTTTGAAACGGAATAACTTGAATTATTTAGAATGTCAGTACCTATCACAACTACAGGAAATCACTTTCTATATTTATAATTGACTCTGGGTAAAATATACATAACATTTAAAGATAAAAGTACTTCTTCAGTGTGACTGAAAGTGGTGCCACTGAAAAAATCTAGGAGTCAAATAGTGAATTTCCCTTAGCCATTCTGTAATTAAGTAAAGTTCAGGCAGAATTTAAGGATGTATCTATTTTATGAATATAAATGACTCAGTGCCAAAATATCTGGATTATGTTTATGTTAATTAAAGTGTGATCCGGTGTGAAAAGGATGCTCAAGTGCTCAAGAGCAAAGTGCAGAGGTTCATATGCAGTATATGGTTATGTCTTATCCATATACAGTGTTGTGTTTTGTTTCAGCCTTTCTGTCTGTTTTCAAACTTGCCAGAACAGTAATCTTCACATGAGGAAAGAGTATCTAACAATATACCAGCTCAGCCTTCTACAAGTAAATCACATCTCAGGATTAAGGTCACATGGATGAGGACTTGCTCTTTCCGGAAGTTATATATATAAGAAACAAAAGTGGAAACAAAAGTAGTTGCTCCATTTACACAGTATGCAGAATACTTGTTCATGAAGTTTTTCAGAATCTATTTCCTACTTATCATTTCTACATTAGCAATTGCTTAGGTAGATGGAAAGTGTTACATACACAACAGGTGCTTTAATTTCTAACAGTGGAAATGAAAATATCCAAACACAGTAAGTTCAATAAGACCAAGTAGCCTACCTGTGTATGACCAGTCGATCTCTTCAACCAATTTCCGTTGTTGTCTATAGTATCCGTACACCAAATCTGCAAAATATTAATGAATTTACAATATTAAAATTGGGACACTAACAAGAATAAGAAGTGCAGATGACTGTCTATGCCAAGGAACGAAATAACCAGTCGCTTTGGTCTTAGATTTTGAATTATAAGAATTCATAAGTAGAATGTGATTGGCCTCATCATTTAGGCCACAAATAAAGCAAACAGAAGAACACAAAGTCTTCTTTTCACATCATATCTATTTTCTTTCCTACTTTCTATATTTCATCACAACCGTATTTTCCTTTGTAAAATTAATACAAATAGAACCAGACGTTCCACTTGAAGAAAGTTTATTTTATATGGCTTCTGAAAGAGCCACTTGGGGATATTTTGAACTCAGTGACAGCTAAACATTGAATTCATCATGGTCAAGACATTGTTTAATATATGCAAACTGGGGATACAGGTTTTCTGAGACTGTCATATATACATAGTCAGTCTACATAGACAGTCTACATAGACAGTCTACATACATATCGTAATCTTATGAAGCACTGAGAAATCTGAAGGAAGCACAACTTAATCTGCTTCAGAAATAACAGCAGCACACATATGGAATTGTTTTCTTCAGAAAATATCACAGAATTCTTCTCGTATTTTGCAGTAAATATGATTCCATGGAACAGTGTCCATAGTATCTACTCCCCTTTTTCTCTAAATGTTTTTCTCTTCCCTTTCCACTACGTGCCAGAAGTCTTTTGCAACACTTACACAACATTCATTCATAATTAAGATTTCTGCAGTAAGATCAAACCCCTTATGTGACTAGTGTAACTGAAAGCAGCAGCAAGGGGATTTGCATGTACAAGCATTGTCTGTGGACCATATTTTTAGTCAGTGTGCATTGTTCCTCTCCCTTTAATTAATTATGCAAAAGTAAGTTGTTTAAGTTCTGATTCACAGGTGTTAGCTGCTGTCTGCAGTTTCCTCCTTTATCCATTGTCCTCATAATTGTTACTTCAAACAATCATTTGAGCATTCATATGCTAACTAAGCAGGGCTTGGGCGTGAGAGCGTCCCACCACTCTTTAAATTCCACATGGAGGTCTGATAGACAAGGAGTGATAGCTTCAATGAACAAGAAAAAAAGGGGCAAGGTTCACTTTTTTGGTGCATTACACACGTATAGACCCAGTAAATCTTACGGAAAGCCTATATAAATGCCAAAAGACTTTAGGAGTTCATACACCTTCTTTACTCTGCTATTCACCTATTGTGTTTGCACAGTCTGTTCACAGCACACTCACAGGCTTGTGTGTTCTCACACTTGCAGTGATTGCCAGTGGTTTGGGTATTGCCTCTTTCTATTAAAAATACATGGCAAAAGGGCAGGGGGAGAGAAAGCAAACCTCATTAGGGGATGGAAGCAATTGAAAATCATAGTCAGTAAAGGAAAAGTTGTGCATTTGCATGGTAGTGTATGGGCACGAGTCAATGCAGCAATTCTTCTCTTGAACTACCAGCGTAATATCACAGCCATGCATTTTATAACGTGTTGTTGCATAAGTGCTCTGTGTTGACCAAGTGACAATACAGAGACAAGACAGAAGGAAATTATTTTATTTTGAAGTCAACAAAGTGACATCTGTTTTCTTTTTGGTATATAATAGTAGATACCTGTTTAAATAGTGTATTTATATGCCTTACATTGGGTTTAAATTATAAAAGTAATGATGTGAAAGTCTTCACAAAAGAGGAAGAAAATTTGCGTTTTGGCAGACAAATCTATGAAACTGATACTTGGACTTTTAAAATTATCAGCTTGAGAGCCAGCTTGACCCTAGTGACACTGACTGTCTTCAGCCAGTACCTAAAATAGTCTTAATTCTACTGGTTGAGTAGCTGATTTATGAAGGAAAAAAAAAAATCCTTCATGTTCTCTTTCGCTTCCAGGCTTTCAGGATGGTGGTGAACATGTTTCTGCAGGTTGTTGATTTATTCATAGAACAAGGCAGTTCAGTTGCAGGATCATGTCTTAACTGACTGTATGGTTATATTTCTATGCAAGTTAAGGAGATATACAAGATATCATTAAATGCTTTTTGTCCCCTTTTCCTAAGCTCCTTCAAAGTCAGAGTTTTCTGTATGAGACCTGTTTCCTTTTATATTCTGTCCAATTAACACATACTTCAATCCCAGAGGCCCATAAAGTTATGAAAAATGTCAACAAAAACTCCTCTGTTCATAAGGGATAGCTAGAATGACTTATTTATTGTTGACCTTCTCTCATGTTCCACTCTACAGTCATGGGAAGAAAATGAAGAGGGCTTTCTGGTAAAGCATAGTACTGGGAGTAAACAGATCTGGTAGATAATTTTTCCCATTAAAAATATATAAATAACCAGATTCTCTTCCTCCTAATACGATATTTCTCTTGTGAAAGAAAGAAACATCCAGGTCCTCAATATGTATTTATTTATATTCAAAAAAAAAAAAAAAAGAAAAAACTTCTGGAAATTTAAGTAAAAATATTTGTGAGTGGGAGCCTCTTACTTGGCACACTGTACCACAGTAAATGAATCAAAGAAGTGGAAATGGAATCCTAAGTCTCTGAATTTTGTCAGCATCCTTTGACAGATGCTAAGGAAACAAGCCTCTAGTATCCACCAGAGATCCCTCCGTAATAAAAGAGGTATTCTGAGGACAGCACCTTAGACGCAAGGCGCATTTTGGGATGCTGCACTCCACACACATGCCCTGTTACCAGGCAGGATTATAGCTCAGGTGCAATCTGGGGATGCAAGGCATACCTGCCTGCTGTAATTTTACCAGGTCTTTATGCTTGTCTGCTTTGCCAATGGGGTGTCAAGGACACCAGCTCCTAGAACTAAGAGGTCAAAAGGAGAACTGAAAGCTAGTTTAGCTTCCTCTCAGCCTAAGCTACGGTCCGACGCCATGTACAATGCTTTTCCCATAATGTCTCTGTCTTTAGATTAGCTCCTTCCATTCATAGGAAGATCACAGGAATATAAATCATAGTGTGGATGAAATTTATTTCACACAGCTTTACTTCCTTAATGTAAATAATCCATGACTTATACAAATGGAGGAACAAAAAGATTCAGACCACAACCTGCTAACAGTCTAGACAGTCTCATTGACAAGAAGTGTCAGTAAAATCATTTATGACAATGCGAAGTATTGGTGTGAACAGCGTACCTCTTCTACCGATTTATTTATTTTGATAATAGTTTCTGTAAAATCCTGAAGAATATCAAAGTGATTTAATAGCCCACCTCTATCTTTTCATATATTCTTTTTTTTTTTTTTTTGAAAGTCAACATGTTTCAAATTCTTTTGTCAGGATGGGTCTAAGAATGCTAAAAGTCTTAGAGAAATTGTCAAAGGAAAAAATAAAAAACAGAGTTCCTTCTGCATTGACTTTTTTTAAGACATCAATATATGTCAAGATACTTATAGGATCAGTTCTATTTATTATCCTGCAGTAGAGGTTTTTCATTCTGATACAGACTGAGAAAACAGTCAGACTTCCCCTAAACTAAATGTAATGCCAATGCATTTTTCTTACAATCTGACAATTGCCACGTTAATTTAGTAATGGCACAATAGTGTGTATGTAAAAAAAAAAAAAAAAAAAAAAAAAATTGATGAGGTTAATTTAAAAGTACATATCATTTAGCATCAGAAGACATTCTTCTCGCTTAACCTGTCACAACTTAACAGTGAAAGTGTCATGGATTAAAAGAATAATAAACCCTAGAGTATCAGCTAGGATTTATAAATCACACTGCACATTGCAATACAGTTTTCTAATGCATTTGTATATGAAAAATGGAAAGTATAAGGAATGTTAGGTATGTCATTCCACCTGTTGTCCCTTACCCGTACACATCACCTGAAGACAAAGCAAAACAGTTTCATAGATTTCCTCTTTTTGGACAACCATTAGCAACCGCTAATGGAGCATTGACTACGTCAAGTTTTAAGGCTGTGAATTTCTGAAGCATACAGGTGCCTGCTCACGAAAGCTTAGATGACAAAGAGCTTTCAGATGTGGGACTGGTACTTGTCTTTTCAAAACAGATATTTCTCAACATGCACAGATGAGTGAAATTAAGTGCCTATGAAGCTTTTGGGCTAAATACACAGATACCTCAATAATTAGATACCTATAGAATTAGATAACCCAGGAACACAGGATGACCAACTTGAACTTTAAAATATTAAATGGATTTTAGGTGTCTGAAGACAAATAAGAGTTTTAGGAAGTCCATAATTTTACTAAAGATATTATACTATTGTTTGATGTATGTATTGAGGCAAACTGGGTTTTATAAAAAGAAACAAGTATTCTAGCAAAACTGAAGGGAAAATTTTATGATTTGGATTTCTGGAAAATTTAAGGAATATATTGCACATAATTAGGAATGAAACACTCTTGTATTTGGTAACCAAGTAAAAAATATTTACAATCTCCTTTTCAACAAACTGGGAACTTGGTACAACAGACACTTCAAAATTGCAATGAAAGGTAAAAATAACTTTTAAAAAATCCTATACCAGACTCCAAAACCATCAAAATATCATTCTCTAATGCCTCCCGACTCATGAACATCTACAGATCAGTAAAGTACTACAGTTTTAGTAATATCTACCTAGCTCTCATGAGTAGTCCTTATAGATTACTCATGAGTAGACTTTATGCAAGTCATCCCAAAGGAACCTTTAATAAAATATATGCTGTTTAATACAGTATATAATGTAAACAATGTAACAGAAATCTCATGAAAAATGACATGTATATGCATATACACAGATTTATCAGAAAAAATACATGATATATACATATATAAATTGAGTGTGTGTGTATGTGTGTGTGTGCGTGTGTATATATATATATATATATATATATATAAAAACTTCTAAATATATTTGGAATTTCTTGCAATTGCATCAGGTTATGGAACTCATGCATACTTTTCCCTTCCTGTTATTGTAACCAACTACATACAAATCTTTTG